GTCAGATAGGTTAGTGGTTCCAACAAAGTTTAGACCTCGAATATTGAATATAGCTCATAATACTTCATTAGGTCTCCTAGGAATTACTAAACCATTATATAGAATCACAAAAGAATTCTATTGGCCAAAATTAAGGCAGGATGTGAAGAATCATATCCGATGTCGCCATGAATGTGAGCAAGTAGGGAAACCTGGACCCCTCCAGCCTATACCTGCTGATGGAGAACCTTTTGCAGAATTAATTATAGATTGTGTAGATCCACTACCTAAGTCCAAGTCTAGAAATCAGTACTTATTTACCATTATGGCTAGAGTAACTAGATACCCAAAAGCAATTCCCATGCACAGTATTAATGCTAAAGCCATTCTCAAGGCTTTAACCAGATTTATTTCTTGTTTTGGCATTCCTAAATATATTCAAAGTGATCAAGGTACTAACTTCACTGCCAAAGCATTTAGGGAAGCATTAACTAGGTTAGGGATAATCCACAACTTATCCATTGCCTATCATCCTCAGTCTCAAGGCACCTTGGAAAGATTCCATCAGACGTTAAAAACCATGATGAGAACTTTTTGTATGCATTTTCCTACAGACTGGGATGAATCACTACCTTTGTTGCTGTTTTCAATAAAGGAAACTGTGCAGGAGTCTACCAGGTATAGTCCGTTTGAGCTGATCTTTGGGCACAATGTACGAGGTCCTCTTCGGGTGCTCAATGAAGGATGGATGGGAGAAGACACTAGCTCAACACTCTACAAGGTTGCAGGTGGCACGTTGGTTAGCCAAGGCTAACTTAAAGGCAGCTCAAAACAAGATGAAACAGAGGTATGACAGAAATGCACAATTTTGCTATCTCTATCCAGGAGACAAGGTGTTGGTACAGGAACCTATACCTGGCCACACCTTGAAAGCTAGATTTATGGGACCTATGCAAATTGTAAGTAAATTATCTGATGTAAATTATGTGATATCTCCTCTTGATAAGATCTCAAAAACTAAAACTTACCACATTAATCAAATAAAATCTTTTCATACACCAGATAAAGTCCAAGTATTAACTCTGTCCTCTACCTCTGAGGATGACTCTGACTCTTTGCACTCTATTTCTGAAATTAATGTCAAGCTCCCAAACTCTGTCCTCCTCAAGAACCCTAGCCCTTTAATGGTGAGGCTATATGAAACTCAAATAACAAGTTTAACCGCGCTTCTACAGTCCTACCCTGATATTTTTTCAGATGTGCCGAAAAATGTAGATGTGGGAAACTCAAAACCTATTAAACTCTCCCCCTACAGAGCCAATCCTGAAAAACGGAAGCTACTTCAGCATGAGGTAGAATTTCTGTTAGAGCATGAGTTAGTGGAGGAGTCATCTAGTCCATGGGCTTCACTGTGCATCCTTGTTAAAAAAGCTGACGGAGGTTTTCGCATGTGTACAGACTACCGTAAGGTGAATAAGGACACAATCACAGATGCTTACCCTCTTCCTCTTTTGGATGACATAATCGACTTTGTGGGTAAGGCTACTTTTGTGTCCAAGTTAGATCTCCTTAAAGGTTGCTATCAGGTACCTTTGATGGATAAGGCAAAAGAAATCTCTGCCTTCATAATTCCAGGTCATTATCAATATACAGTTACCCCCTTCAGAATGAAAAACTCCCCCTCTTCATTCCAGAAACTTATCCATCAGGCTATTAAAGGACTTGAAGGCATGGCAGCGTATCTAGATGACATAGTGGTGGTGTCTGATACTTGGGATCAACACCTGTTTAGGCTTAAGGCTCTCTCTGAGACGTTCCAGAGTTCCCATTTGACTGTTAATTTATCTAAGTCTTCCTTTGGCCAGGCTACTGTTACTTTTCTGGGCCATGAAGTAGGTAGTGGCAAAGTTGCTCTTAAATTTGCTAAAGTTCTTGCCATTAAAGATTACCCAATTCCCCATGATAGGAAATCTCTTCAATGTTTCCTAGGCATGACAGGGTTTTACAGAAAATTCTGTAAAAAATTTTCATATATTGTAGCCCCTCTTACCAGTCACAAAGTTCCCTTTAATTGGATCCCAGAATGTCAAAATGCTTTTATAAAAGCAAAAAGATTATTGTGTACTGCACCCATTCTTTTGTCTCCAAACTTCTCCAAACCTTTCTCCTTACAGGTTGATGCTTGTGAGTCTGGGGTTGGGGCAGTACTGTTGCAAAACGGGGATGAGGAGTTGCAGCTTGTGGCCTTCTTCTCGGCAAAGTTCCCGCCGCACCAGAGGGCTTACTCTACCATTGAAAAAGAAGCCCTCACGCTGGTACTGGCCTTGGAGCACTTCAATATATATGTGGGCCAGACTTTGCAGGTGGCCACACACATATGAAGAATCACAACACAAGAATCATGAGGTGGTCACATAGGCTGCAACCATATAATATCAGGGTAAAATATATCCCTGGTAAAGAAAATAAGTTGGCAGACTCTCTATCTAAAGTCTAAAATTTATATATATTAGGTTAGGATGTGTTAGGGACCTATGGTAACATGACAGCTCTTTTTTTTCCCCCTTGTGAGTGTTTTTTTTTTAGTGAGGGGATATGGGCTACCGTCAGCCCCTGTCTCGGACCTTTGTTAGCCCTACTGTCTGCTGTCTCGCCCTGAGTTTAGAGTTTGGCTTTATGTCACAAATATAGCTGAGCTCTATCTAAGAGGTGGATGGTTGAGAGGAGAGGTGGTCCCATTATATGGTGCCATGGTGGCACGGTTACCAATGGGAGGTAGGAGCCTAATCCTGAGCCCTCTCGGGCGGGGGGTGTGGCATACAAAGAGTATGTAACCTTTATTCGGCACATGTACACACCCTCATTGAAAGGCTATCTCCCCCAACCAGTGAACCAGTACTAAGGGTTGGACGAAGGGGCCCCGTTGTTCCATCAGTACCCAGGTTCAGCCAATGATAAGATGGTTTTGGCAATCGCAGAGGTGTTGTGGGCACCACCCACCTGTCTGCCCTTGTCATTTCCATTCTAGAGCTGGTTGAAGCACGGTTTGCTCTCTAGTGGCATCTATTCTGCCTTGCTTACCATGGCATGCACTAATACCTATTGTTGTACATAGTGTACATACTTCTGTTCTTACTTGGTAAAAGGATAATATAAGCCAAAAGTTTTCTGCTGTGTTTGTTTTTGCTCCCTTTACACCCAGGGTAACAGGCCTTTGAATTCCTGGGTTGTAATACATGGCATGTACTGCTCAAACTTACAATTCATGAAGCTTCTCATTCCTTAGCAAACAAATTGACATGGGAGAGCCAACTTTTATTAGATATCTCTAGCTTCACATCCTCATTTTCTTGAACTTTATTCTGCATGAATTCATTGAACTCCGCTCTAGTCATATTTTAGTGGCTGAGGTTGGTTAGTCATCTTTTCATAAGTTTCTGTTTAGTAGCTGCTTCTTCCATTGTTAAACCAAACCACTCAGCTTCATTTTCAGGAATCATATACTGCTTATACCTTTCAAGTATTTCTTGTTTCTTTGATGGGTTATCAGGATATAGTGTTCCTCTCACTAATGTCAACAGCATTTCTCTTCTCAACTTCAGTACTAATTCAGACACCAGATCTGCTGGTGGAGTCTGCAAAATGTAATTATCAAATCCATAGCACTTATCAATCAGCCAGAGAGCTCTTTCTGTCACTCGAAGAAGCAAGTATCTATGAAGGATTTCAGAATAAACTGCAGACATCAAAAGCATAGGAATCCAGTAATGAGGAACACATCTCTTCCTTGCTTTTGTGCCATCACAGACATATGGGGAATGAAGCAGAGAGGAAAATAGGGAGGGAGAGGGAAAAAAAAAGGACAGACTGTGAGCGAAAGAGCACGAGAGAGCACAAGTGCACGAAAAAAAGCATGTGTGTGAGAGAGAGCATAAAACAGAGCTTGAGAGAATGTTAGAGCATGCAAGAGAGAGAGAGAGACAGAGAGAGAGACAGAGAGACAGAGAGAGAGACAGAGAGACAGAGACACAGAGGGAGACAGAGACACAGAGACACAGAGGGAGACAGAGACAGACAGAGACAAAGAGAAATAGAGAGAAACAAAGACAGACAGACAGACACACACACACACACACACACACAGAGAAAGGGACAGGAAGAGACAGGGGGAGAAATGGGGGGATAGAGATGGGGGAGAGACAGGGAGGGAGAGACAGGGAGAGCTGGGGTTACTAGCCCTTTCTCCTGTATGATTACAAATTTAAAAAGAAAAACTTTCGTTTTTCTTTTTAGGTCACCCTGCCTAGGTGGGATATGGCTGGTCTGATGAAAAAATAAAATTATCTTTCCCTGTTTTCCCATGACAGTTCATAAAAATTCCTAATTAATTTTTCAGTTTCTAAGACAGAGGCTCTATGTGTTTCTCTTATATAGTAAAATGACATCTCATGAAGACAGTCATTATGTATATCTTCATCAAGACATTCATTATGTATATCCTCATGATGACAGTCATTACATATCTCTTCATCAAGACAGTCATTATGTATACCCTCATGACGACAATCATTACGTATATCCTCATGTATCTCTTCAAGACAGTCATTATGCATCTCCTCGTGACGACAGTCATTTTGTATCTCTTCATGAAGACAGTCATTATGTATATCCTCATTATGACAGTCATTATGTATCTCCTCATGAAGACAGTCATTATGAAGACACTTTAATTACAATGACATCTTATAAAAACATTCAATATGAAGACTAATTTAATCACAATGACATCTCATGAAAACATTAAAATGACAACCTAATTACACTGTGATTACAATTTATAGGAAAAAAAAAAGGATGGATTTTTTTTTTCACTTTAACTATAGGAGCAACTGAGATATTTAAAACTAAATAACTGTAGGAATGCAGAAGTATTCATTCTTAAAGTTAAACACACAACTTTCATGCTAAGTGTAGTGTAGTGAATCATGTACATTAACTCAGTGAAGAGAAGAAATACTAACCATTTCCTCCACACTCATTAACTCCACAAAGTTGTCTGGGAATACTCCTATTTGACCTTGAAGTTCTCCTCTCCACCAACCTTTGTCTTCAAGCTCTTTACACAGGACAGTGATGATGTCTCCTTCCTTCAGTTCCAACTCATCCTCGTGTTCTGCTGCATATGGGAACATGACCCGTGCAAGTTCCCGAACTACAAAAAATGGCATATGGTAATTCAGTTGGGGTAAATAATGGCAATAAATACTAATATTTAAAAAGTAATCCTAATGCTTAAAGACACATAAGACTTAGGCATAGATTATTAAGTAGGACTACTTATGCAGTTAACTACAATCATATATACAATAAGAAAGTAGCTAATGAACAAATGCATAGTACAATTTCAAAAATACGACTTATTATTTCAAATATGATCTTCAGTTTTGTGAAGTGATTTTGTTATAGTAAAAATATAATGAGACAAGATGTAGGAAGTAGGTTGGTAGATAGCAACCACCCAGGGAGGCACTACTGTCCTGCCAAATGAGTGTTAAGACAGAAACCTATATTTGTTTTACATGATTGTAGGAGTGCTGATTCATAATTCTATTTCAAAATTCAAAATTTTTAGTTCTTTGCAAAATTTACAATGGGCTAGTAACCCCTTTTCCCATACAGTTTACTAAAAATAAAAAGAAGAAAACCTTTAAGTTGGGATGTTTGAATTTGGGTGGATGGAGTGCAGATGATAAGAAAAAGATGATTGTGGATGTTATGAATGAATAAAGAAGCTGGATGTCTTAGCACTACGTGAAGCAAAGCAGAAGGGGTAGGAGAGTCTCGGTGGGGAGAAATAAATGGGATTAAGTCAAGGGCTTCTTATAGAGAGCTAAGGAAGGAGTAGCAATAATGTTGAAGGATCAGTTATGACAGGAAAAAGAGGGACTATAAATGTATAAATTCAAGGATTATGTGGAGTAAAATAAGGGTGGTATGTGAAACGTGGGTTATAGTAAGTGTTTATGCACCTGGAGAAGAGAGAGGTGTAGAGGAGAGAGAGAGATTTTGGGAGATGTTGAGTGTCTCTAGTTTTGAACCAAGTGAGAGAGTACTCATGGTGGGGAGACCTTCATCCTTTGAGGGTCCGTCCCGTAGTTCAACAGCTTTGAAGCTAGAGTCCAAGCCGTAGTACTGTCATGAGCTCAGTTCACTCAGATAAGCTGTGAGTGGTAAATTTTGGCCTAGATATGAGAGAACGCATCTACAGTGGACCCTCGCCTAACGCTATTAATCCGTTCCTGAGAGATCAACGTTAGGCGAAATTATCGTTAGGCGAATTAATTTTCCCCATAAGAAATAATGGAAATCAAATTAATCCGTTCCTGACACCCCAAAGTATGAACAAAAAAAAAATTTTTACCACATGAAATATTAATTTTAATACACACAAACTGAAGAAGACATGCACAGTTACATGACACTTACCTTTATTGAAGATCTGGTGATGATTGATGGGATGGGAGGAGGGGAGACTGTGGATGGTGTTAATGTTTAGAAGGGGAATCCCCTTCCATTAGGACTTGAGGTGGCAAGTCCTTTTCTGGGGTTACTTCCCTTCTTCTTTTAATGCCACTAGGACCAGCTTGAGAGTCACTGGACCTCTGTCGCACAACATATCTGTCCATAGAGGCCTGTACCTCCCGTTCCTTTATGACATTCCTAAAATGTTTCACAACATTGTCAATGTACAGGTTGCCAACATGGCTTGCAATAGCTGTGTGAGGGTGATTTTCATCAAAAAAAGGTTTGCACTTTAAGCCACATTGCACACATTTCCTTAATCTTTGAAGTAGGCAACTTCTTCAATTTCTCTCTCCCCTCCTCCGAAGCAGTTTCCTCAGGTCAGGCCTCTTGCTGTTGAAGATGATCCAGCAGCTCATCAGTGGTTAGTTCTTTCATTGTCCTCCTCCACCAACTCTTCCACATCCCCCCCACTAACCCCCAAACCCCCAAGGACTTCCCCAAGCAACATGGTTTCCCTCAACTGGCATAGGATTCCCAGGGTTACCCTAAAACCCTTCAAAATCCCTTTTGTCTACACTTTCCTGGCGGAACAGTTTCTTCCAAAAGCAGAGTTCAGGGTCCTCTTAGTCACTTCCACCCAAGCCTTACCTATAATGTTTACACAATTGAGGATGCTAAAGTGATCTCTCCAAAACTCTCTTAGAGTCAATTGAGCTTCTGAGGGTCACTACAAAGCACCTTTCAACACAGCTTTTGTGTACAGTTTCTTGAAGTTGGAAATGGCCTGCTGGTCCATGGGCTGCAGGAGAGGAGTGGTATTAGGAGGCAAAAACTTGCCCTTTTAATGAAGCTCATTTCCACACAAAGTCGCTCGCACGTCTAAAGAATGACCAGGAGCATTGTCTAATACCAGGAGGCACTTAAGGTCTAATTTCTTTTCAATTAAGTAAAATTTTTCACAGTAGGGGCAAATGCATGGTGTAACCAGTCATAGAAAAAGTCCCTAGTGACTCATCCCTTTACTATTTGCCCTCCACAGCACACACAAATTAGCCTTGAGGACATTGTTTTCTGAACACTCTGGGGGTTTCAGAGTGATACACCAATAAAGGCTTCACTTGCAATCGCCACTAGCATTAGCCCCAAATCAACAGAAAAAAGCCCGTCTTTCATAGGCTTATGTCCTGGGGAAATGCCCTTTTTCCCCCTGAGAATGTAGGTCCTGCTTGCATTTTCTTCCAAAACAGGCCTGTTCATCACAATTAAACACTTGTTCAGGTTTCAGTCCTTCACTGTCTATGTACTCCTTGAATTCCTGCACATATTTTTCAGCCACTTTGTGGTCCGAACTGGCAGCCTCACCATGCCTTATCACACTATGTATGCCACTACGATTCTTAAATCTCTCAAACCAACCTTTGCTGGCCTTAATTCACTCACATCACCACTATTTGCAGGCATTTTTCTAATTAAATCCTCATGCAACTTCCTAGCCTTTTCACATATGATCGCTTGAGAGATGCTATCCCCTGCTATCTGTTTTTTGTTTATCCACACCAATAACAGTCTCTCAACATCTTCTATCACTTGCGATATCTGTTTCGAAAACAAAGTTGCACCTTTGGCAAGAACAGCTTCCTTGATTGCAGTTTTCTTGGCCACAATAGTAGCGATGGTTGATTGGGGTTTTGTGTACAACCTGGCCAGCTCGAAGACACACACTCCACTTTCATACTTAGCAATGATCTCTTTCTTCATATCCATAGTAATTCTCACCCTTTTTCCTGTAGGGTTGACACTAGAAGTTTTCTTGGGGCCCATGGTGACTTATTTTGCAGGTGCAATCACTAAAAAGGCTGTGATAATATGAAATGTTCCAATTGTATGCTTGGAAGTGACCGCAGTGGCTGGCTTGTAAACACTGGCACCCACAGAACAAGTGAGGCTGGCTCAGGCCGCACATGGACGCGTCTCGAACGAATCGCATTGAGCGAGTTTTTTAGTGCCAACCGAGGCAAAATTTTTGTGTTAAAGTGTATTGCTAGACGGATTTAACGTTATGCAATGCGTTCGTTAGGCGAGGGTCCACTGTATATGCTAAGTGTGCACCATATAAAACAAATCCTGCTGCACACAGTGCATAATAAGAAATAAACTGTGACTTTGCTTTTGGATTAAAACAGCAATTTTGTGGTGTATTTTCATATAGTTTTTACAGCTGTAAAAACCATATGGTTTTTAGGTCTCATTTGATAAAATGGAAGATAAATTACAGAAATAGAGATGATTTTCACTGGTTTTAGTACTGAAAAATAGACTGAAAATGAACTCAAATTAGCGTCCAATACACGTCAACTGGTGGGTCTAATATACATTCACGAATGCACTGATATTATTTATACAATTATTACAATGCTGCATAACAGTAAATCTTCAGTTTTTTGGTATGGATAAAAATCCTTTATGTGAATAAAAAATCAAAATGGAATTCATCTGTAAAGCCTGGAAACATAACTATTAAAGAGAGGAAATGTTATTTTAGTGCCAGGAATGCCTGCATTGTTTATTATGGACCCTATTATGAACTTTGTGTGAAATTGGCCAAATTACCAATTTCTGATCACTTTATTGGGTAGTTGAAATAGGTAAATGAGCAGTTTCTTGTACTCAATTGACAGACAGAAGGAATACTAGCAAAACAGGTAGAATGAACCCCCAGATTAAGTTGTCATTGGAATAAGTAACATTTTTTCGTCAAATATTTTGGCTCGGTGAACGTCACTGAACTCTGTATAAGTCATTCGTCCAGAACATGTCCGCGGAGCCTGAGTGGCCCCGACACTCCATGTACAGCCAGTGTGCCACTGTTTGCCAGCCAGTGAGGACGATCCCACGCATTCATATGATACATTTTGTATTATTCCATTCTTTTTAGTGCTTGTAACTGCTAAATAAGCCACCATGGGCCCAAAGAAAGTTTCTAGTACCAGCCAGCCCTTTGGTAAAGGGCTGAGAGAGAGGGGAAGAAAGTGACTTTTTCAGTGATTTGGCAATATGTAAGATTCTAAAGCAATATTGTATAAAATATTGTATAAAAACATAATAAAAGAGAATGTAAAGGAATAAACTGGTTTTATAAAGTGTATTACCTGGAGATCACACCTCGCTATTCCACCCACACCTCACTACTCCACCACCACCTCTATACTCCTACCACATCCAATCCCACCACTCATCAATCACACACCTACTACTCCACCACACCTCTACTACTCAACCACCCTTACTACTCCACCCAACACTCCATCACACCTCCTTACTCACCCACCACTTACTACTCCACCCACGCCACTCACTACCATCCACCTATCACCACACCTTCACTACTCCACCCTACCACCTCACACCCACCCACACCATTCACTACTCCACCCACACCTCACTACTCCACCCACACACTCATATCCACCACACCACCTCACTAATCCACCACCACCCTCACTACTCACCCACCACCTCACTACTCCAACACCACCTTCACTACTCACCACACACTCCACTATCACCACACCTTCATACTCACCCACCACCCTCACTACTCCACCCCCACCTTCACTACTCCACCCACCACCTCATATTCTCACCAACACCTCACTTACCACAACCACCTCACTACTCCACCCACCA